ATATAGTAGCTAAGACATGCTGTTGCGTAAAAATTGAAAAAATAATATATATATACACATGAGCTGTAGTATGAACAATAGGCAAACATTCAAACCTCTTCCATAAATTATTTCCCTTTTTCAAATAGCCAAATTGGGGTGCTCATAAGCTCCTTTTAAAAGATTTGTAATAATCAAATTAAACAGAAATTAATTATCTTAATTATTATTTTTTTTTAAATAAGTACTAAAGAATGGTACAGTATAATAATGAAATGTAGTTAAAACTAATAATATAAATACAAAAAAAACATAACACGAGACACCATTACTTATACAAAGCTTTATGATTTATATACTTTTGACCGACATAATGATTAGACGTATTAAGGCAAACATACATCTAGATCTAAATGAAAACAGAGATTTTCAAAACAGACCAGTGCACTCACACACATGACATTTTGTTGTGATTATATTGAATTGAATTTTTTTTCAAAACCCGATCAGGCCAGAAATGAGTATCCTATATTCGTATTGAATATATATATATATATATATATATATATATATATATATATATATATATATATATATATATATATATATATATTATATATATATATATATATATATATATATATATATATATATATATATATATATATATATATATATATATATATATATATATATATATACATATATGGGGGTCCAACAAATTTTTTTGCGGGGTGGCCCATTTTTTCTAGTTCCGCCACTGGTTGAGTTTGACTTGTTTCATCTCCCACAGATTGCCGAGCTTCAGAAGTCTCTCTACGACGAAGACAAGGACGCCCCCTCCATCACCATCGTGACCTTGTTCATCAACCTTGGCAGTTTAAAGAAGGGCGGCGGCTCCAACTACAACACCCCGGACAAGTATAAAAAATGGATGATCACGTGGGGCTGGCTGACCAATCACGTCGTAGCTTTTATCGAAGATGATGAAACAATAGAGTATTTTAAGTAGGTTAAATTTATTTTTCTGTTGGCATTTTTTTAAAACTTGTATGGGGAGAATCAGTACTAAGTAAGACATCAATCATACTTTAAGGGCGTTAAAAAGGTGCTTGAATGAAAACAAATCTGAACAAAAATTCCTTGTTTGTGTATAATAAACTAAACTAAATATATAAAGTGAAAACAGGAGCTAGCTAATTTCTATTTTATATTTTACTAGCCGTCCCGGCCAGGCCCTGCTCTTTTTAGTAATCATCATAAACCACAACCAACCAAAACCAAAACAACAAAACGCAAACATAACGCTAACACAATTACAAATACAAACGAAAAAAAAAACCTAACAACAAACCCAACCACAACCAGAAACACCAATACAAACACAAAGAAAAAACAAACAAAAGAGGAAACGAAAACAAAAACCTAACAACAAACCCAACCACAACCACAACACCAATACGAACACAAAGAAAAAAAAACGAAAAAGCAAACGAAAACAAACCAAATCCAAACGCAAAACCAACCACAAACACAAACACAAACCCAAAGAAAAAAACACAAACGAAAAGCAAACGAAAACAAACCAAATCCAAACGCAAAACCAAACACAAATACAAACACAAACCCAAAGAAAAAAATACAAACGAAAACGAAAAAAGCTAATCGACTATAGTACCCCTACTTATTCATAGTCTTTTTGCACTCACTTAAACGAACGTAGGTGCCAAAACCAAACCAAATGAACAATTATAATACTCCAAGCTTATTCTTAAAATACCTACAACATTTGCACTTGATCAATCCCTGCTAATTATGTAATTATTTTTTTCCCCAACACCAAAACAGAGTAATAAAAAGTAAATTCTTTTCCACTAATGTAATGCTTTATAAAGGGAAGTAATTGTGTTTTCCTAATTTATCAAAGGGAAGTAAGTGCTAAAGGACTAAATATAAATTATTTTCAGACATAATTAGAATTTTTGTTATTTTTTTTTAAATTGTGTTTAATGAACATGCCGACAATTATTACTATCCGTTTGAAAAATGAAAATTATTTCCCAACACTTTCAATAGTAATTTTTAAACTCATAAATTTAGACAAATGCGCACCATAATAGTCTAACACTTTAATCCATGGAAGTATGTCAACGACAAACATATGTATTTTACATACAGAATAGAGCTTTAAATATTAGACTAGCCGTCCCGGCCAGGCCCTGCTCTGGCTTCTGTGAAAAACCCTTCTGTTAAAGACCATTACCTGTGTGTTTAGTAATCATCATAAACCCGGCATTGCCCACCCAAACCACCACCAACCAAAACAACAAAACGCAAACATAACGCTAACACAATTACAAATACAAAAGAAAACAAAAACCTAACAACAAACCCAACCACAACCACAAACACCAATACAAACACAAAGAAAAAACAAACAAAAAAGCAAACGAAAACAAAAACCTAACAACAAACCCAACCACAAACACCAATACCAACAAAAAAAAAAACAACGAAAAAGCAAACGAAAACAAACCAAATCCAAACGCAAAACCAACCAAAAACACAAATACAAACCCAAACAAAAAAACACAAACAAAAACGAAAAAAGAAAGTACAAAAACGAACCAAATCAAAACGCAACCACTAACGCAAACCCACCTAAACACAAAGAAAACACTAACGCGAACATAAACGCCCGGGGCGGAGTCACCTGTTTTAGCTTAAAGAACGACTATAGTGCCCCAACTTATTCATAGTCTTTTGCACTCACTTAAACGAACGCGCCTGTTTCAATTTAATGAACAATTTTAATACTCCAAGCTTATCCGTAAAATACCTACAACATTTGCACTTGATCAATCCCCGCTAATTATGTAATTATTTTTTTCCCAACACCAAAACAAAGTAATAAAAAGTAAATTCTTTTCCACTAATGCAATGGTTTTATAAAGGGAAGTAATTGTGTTTTCCTAATTTATCAAAGGGAAGTAAGTGCTATAGGACTAAAAAAGACATAATTAGAATTTTTGTAAAAGATGATATTTTTTTAAAACTTGTGTTTAATGAACATGCCGACAATTAATACTATAATTTGAAAAATGAAAATTTATTTCCCAACACTTTCAATAGTAATTTTTTAACTCATAAATTTAGACAAATGCGCACGATAATTGTCTAACACTTAAATCCATCCAAGACCAACGACAAACATATGCGTTACATACAGAACTGAGCTTTATATATTAGATTTCAATATAATTTAAAATAATTTATTATTGGATAAAGATACTAACAATCTTTCTGTAGATATATTTCAATGCATTGAAAAGAGCTGGTAACTTGCTACTTTAATAACATGCCTCCGTGGCCGCGAAGTTATTTAATGTGTTTAGGGCGCAACAATTGTTCTAATAGCGAGCATCAAGATCGTAGGTATACTATTAACACGAACATTTTAACAAACCTATCAGCAGTGCACCGGAGTAAGAATGTTACGTGAAGGATACAATGCATAAAATACTGAACAACAAACTGCACTGTACTAAACATAACTAGGCGCGCTATGCAAATAATTTAATACCCTCCCATGCTCAAATACAACAAGGTAGCGACGAAACAGGGAGGTAACGATTGAAGGCGGACCGTAAAACTGGATTTTGAATGCCAGAAATAAAAGACGAACTTGTTATGAAAAAATACGTGGGTCGACTGCCTTAAAGGAAACCGCACCCATACAATTGTACGATAATAGACGAGAGAATTTTAACTGAACGGCTCCACAGGAGATATCAACAGATTTAAATTCTCCTCTAATCAGAACGAGGCGCGACGACATTAAAACGAAATAAAGTCGTATTTTTAGAGTTCAACACAGCAGGAACTTATTGCTACACAGCAAAAAACACGTTGTTGTAGCAAGCCCCTAACCCAGTACAAACCTGACAAACACACGCCTTTTGGTAGCTTTGATAACTTACATGGGCAAGTTAAAGACAAGGAAAGGCACGAAACTGTATACATAAACAACACAACGCACAATCAAATGCAAATCATTTTTGTTTAAAGACAATAACTAACATAAGAAATTATTTAATAAGTAGTGTATTTTAATTTATTTAAAGAAAATCATTTATTTTCTTCTTTTTATAGCATGATTACATAAAAGCTTGTTATTGTTATTTTGTATGCATTTTTTTTTTTACTTTCTCGTATACGAAGTAAAGAGAAAGTATTGTAATCGTGCAAAACAAAAAAATCGAGATTTTTACAAATCTCGACGTTTTATGGCGGAGTGACATCTTCTTCTTCGTTCTTAATTTTTAGTGTTGGGAGGGATCGAGCCTTATCTGTCAGAGGTTTTGAACTCGAGACTTCTTTCGAATTTATCAACCATGAGCTTTGCCGATTCGACCATGCTTCCATCACAATTAAGGATTACGTGTCAACTGGTTATGCGCCATTGAGGCATTAACTCCGATTTCAGCCTGCTTTTCTTTTTGGATTTGCTTCCAATTTTGGAGTTGTCTCTCCTAGAAGAGTGGCTATCCCCAGCTAACGAGCCTCATCTGCCCGAGGGTTCGAACTCAAGACTTTTCGATTTAGCAACCATGAGCTTTACCGACTCGACCACGCCAACCCCTGAATGACACACTACCACCAGCATTATATTATAGATGCGAGAAAGTTTAGGGGAGATCACTCCCGGTTTATTTACATATGGATACGACAGGGGGTTGCTCATTATATATATATATATATATATATATATATATATATATATATATATATATATATATATATATATATATATATATATATATATATATATATATATCCAACCATCTTTCTCCCAGACAAATCCGTTCCCAACAGCCCGCCCACAGGACTGTGATTGTGAAAGTCAACAGATCCCAGTTGGACGCCTTCAAGAACCTGGAGAGGATCAAACAAATCTACAGCAACAGCTCCTACCCCAAACATTCACCCAACACCATCAACGCCAACTACAGCTGCGCCAT